ATGAATAAGATGACAAATATAGAGCTGAACTTAGGGTAGAAAAAAATAAGAGATTGGCTATTAAAGATGATTGGAATTATGTTCATGGATTGTTGCCTCTTTTGAAAAGCTTTTATGATCCCACTTTGCATGTCTCTAGTTTTTTATATGTCACTAGCAATAATTACTTTCATGTGGTGTTTGGTGTTGGAATGCAAATTAATGACAAATTACATGATCCAAATTGAAGTATTCAATTAACAGCTTCTTAAATGAAATAAAAGTTTGAGAAATTTGAGGAAATGTAAAGAACCTCAATCTTTTGTTATTCATTGCTGTCATTTTAAATCCTAGATGTAAGATGGATTAAGCAACGTTTGTCATTGATGAAGTTTATGATGAAAACAAGGTTGTAGAGTTGGGTAGTTGTGTAAAGGTCACCTTAACTACATTGTTTAAGCACTATGCTTCAATTATGGATGGCTCTAATAAAGAAACAAGTTCTAGTTCACAAGCACCAATGTCGTTAAAGGAGAATATTGATGTTAATGCAATGTAGAGGTGTATGCCTTATGAAAAAAAAAAAGGGCAAAGTCATAATGCAAGTAGAGGAAGTCAAAATTGAAAAGGTACTTAAAGGATATATATGAGCAAAATAATAAAAATTTTGACATTTTACTTTGGTGGAAAGTAAATGGTTGCAAATATCCAATACTTATTCAGATGATTTGAGATGTATTAGTCATTACTGTGTCTATGGTGGCCTTTAAATATACTTTTAACACTAAAAGGCATATACTTGATCCATTTCATAGTTCTTTAACTCTAAAAATAGCTTAGGCCTTTATATGCACATAGAATTGGCTATAATTTGCACTTATGTTGGTTGAAAATTAGGAAAACTTGGATGTTTGGGAAGACATTAAACTCGATAAGTATTTAACTATTTATAACTTAATTAAATATATTTATGTTGTTTACTCATCATCTATCATTCTTTTAGTGATTTAATGAATTTTATATATACTTTTTCATAAATTTTACGAACTTCATCCTTAATGAAACAAAGATGGTCAACGATGATTGACTTTAAAGTGAAAAGTAATCTTTCAATTTCATTTTTAGTTCATGTCATTATAAGTTAATTTTTTTTCTATTTTATTATGGATATTCTTGTTATTTTATTTTCAGGAAATTAAAAATAGAAGGAATTTAACAATAATAATTCCACTGAATATGGAATTCAGTTTTACAATTTATTGTTCTTAATTTCATATCATGAAATGTTGTAGTTATATTTTTTTGGATTATTATTTTATTTTGAATCTGCTTTCTAGTATCCTAGTAGGTTGTTATAGTTTGGCTCAAGTGGAATGGAGTGTATTTGATGACTTAGTGTAATTGTTAATACTTTTAAACTATTGCATTGTGTTTTATTATCTTATTTGGGCACTTTTTAATTTATATTTTTTATGGATAATTAAATGTTTATTATGGTGTTTATTTTCATTGTTGGATTGCTTCTTAAATTATTTGTTTATAATGATATATTTAATAAAATATATTATTGGCTGGAGAACCACTTTTGAATCCTATAAGGGTCAAGTCCTTCATAAGCGTAAAACTACTGGGTGATGCAAATATTGAACACAACTCAGAAGCAATTGTGTGATGACAACGAGAAAAAATGTACTATACTAAAACTACTTGTTGTATAAATTGCTTAGTTCCTTGGTGATGAACTCTACATATAACTTGTTGTAGCCTTGTAGTTGTAAGATGGTTCCAATTACAAAGGATAGGGCTATCAAAGAGATTGTACTGGTATTATTCAGCATAGTGTTTTTATAGCAACTCAAACAATAAAGGAGCTTGTTTTCTAAAAAGTCTACTTAACAAAGCTTTAATTCCAATTACTTGATTGATAGCAATACTTTGGCAAATTTTGCTTTGTTTTGTTTATCCTAGTTTATGTTGTGTTTCTTGAATTATTGCCCATGTTTGATGCCTCTTTTGTGGCACTTTTAACTTTATTCAATTAATTTTCTTAAGATAATAAAATGATTTTCTAGTTATCTTTTCTCCATAATAGCTCCATCGTTATAAGTTGATAATGATATCCCAACTCTCATGATCTTATCATAAGCTAATAGTTTCTCTTATTATGACAACTGTGGAGATGAATGGCAAAATGGTTGTTAGTGGCAAACCTTTTTTTATTGCAATAACTTAAAGGAAAGAAGATAGGAGAGCCAAGTTATAGGTATGTTCTTTTGATATTTTCTTTGAGCCTTAACCAAACTACAATGGGGGCAAACAGATGGTTTTCATTCTTTGGTATGCTAAAGAGGAACCATTGATTTTTTTTTTAACTATAACAAGTGAAAATGTTTTAATGATATGTAATTGGTTTTTTTTTATACAAAGATTTGAATTACATAACAAAATAATTATTTCTTATCTATAACAATTGCTTATTTATTCTCTCTCTTTTGTATTTCAAATGCACACAAATTTGACATGCATGTTCATTGAGCAAAGTGTGACCTTATATATTATAAATATACTATATAGGCAAAAGTCAAAATTTGAGATTCGTGTAATAACAATGATTATATTACCCCCCAACATAAAAAGATGATTCAAGAATGCAATTGAACACTTTCTTTGTGTTCCCCTCCGTTTGTCAAGTTAATACTAGTTTTGTAGAACTAAAAGCCCATATGCCAACAGCTGAATTATGGCCATAATCAACAAATTGCATATTGGTAATTCATAGATATTATTTGAGTTGATCCAAGCTATTTCTAAACTCAATCTATGCCTTAATAGTGGTTATGCTTTGCCTTGTTGTTTTTCTTTTTTAGACTTTTGTCTGGTTTTTCACTTTTCTTTTCTTTGGTGAAAGTCTTGTTCTACACTGTTAGCAAAGGAAAATGATTAAATTCAATTCATAAATTTCTTTTACTATGGTCCTTTCAAGTTAACGTATTTTCTGTTGCATGCTCATGCTTTTTTGTTAGTTATGTCTATGTAAAATTATCGATAGGACTAGGGCTAGTATTTGTTTTTACAAATTGATTCTCAAGTTGTTTGTTTGTTTTTAATATTTGTTACTCTCATGGATTAAGGTAATGTTTGGTGCATAAAATGATGAATAAGATAGAATAATAATCATCCTATATATGTTTAGTTTGTATTTAAAAAACAAGAATATGATTGCAAGGAGGATTAATCATTCTCTTGATATAGGATTATTCAATCCTCTCAAAATTGATAGGATTATTTTTAATCCATGGGATTGAATTTATATGTCTTATTATACCCTTAAAAATTATATTAATAATTTAAATTGTATAAACTTTGAAAAAAGATAATTTTGACAAATAAATATATTATCCTATCTTAACCCGTGCACAAATTAAATATAAGATAAGATGACAATATGTAATCTAATTCTATTTATAATATCATCTTATCCTAATCTATCATAATTTTATACATCAAACACATCTTAAGTTCATAAGTACTTAATTAGGGTGCTTTAGTGTCTCTAAATGCTCCAATGAAAATAATGTTTGTCATGCAAAACTTCAAATAGCTATGGACTTTCACTTATATACTATCCCTATGTTCCAAATTTCTAATTGTGAGGGATTTCATAACAATGTTTTATGTATATCAAGTGCTTAGGGCTTTAGAAACAGCATGGATATTGAATTTCCTCTTATATAGCATGTTATCTTTAATCAAAAAAATTTTGAATATGTTGTTTCAAAAACTTTGCACAATAACAAAAAAATTTCACAATGATCAATTTTCTATTAGACCAAAATCTTCTTTAAATTTGAAAAATTTTAGTGCCTTAAATATAGATTATTTGTTATATGTATTATTTGTTATAAGGTAAATTATATGGTAAATTACATAACAATTTGCTTGGAGACATAATTATTGTTATTTATTTCAATTATATATTGTTTTTTCTTTGTTTAATTGAATTTTTTATTCAATAAAAAGTTCCCAGCTAAAAAAATAAAAGTTGAATCAGTGTCCAAAAAAATCCAAATAATCAATACGAACCAATCTGAATTTATAGGGATCGAGTTTTCCTAAATATTCCTTTTATACATATCGGATACAAATCATAAAATAAAATATCTGTATAAATCGAATTGGATAAAAAAATTAAATATGCAAACCAATATGATCCTGTATCACCCCTAGTTTTACATTGTCAACAGTAAAAATCAAGTTTAAAGTTCTCTAGAAAAAAATCTAGAATGTATTTGTTTAGTTTTTTATTTAGTGAGATTCTTTAATTGTTTCTTTAATTATTGTTTAACTCTAGTTTTAATTAAAGAAGAATTTTATATATAATAAAGACTTTTCTAATAGTTTATAGTTTTTTTTTCACCACATTAAAGGATCTCTCACATAAATTTTATATGTTTTATTTTTTTTTACATTGTTGATTATTAATTATTATTTATTTGTTATGGATTTATTATAATAAATTGTTGTCACATTATTATGTTTTGTCTCTTCAAATCCGATAATTGAAATAAATTATTTTAAAAAATAACTATTAATATTAGAAAAATGTTAAACAATATCTAATGATATTGATTAAAACGATATTTAAGGAAAGAAATATATAATTAATGTAATTTTTTGAATTTAGTGAAACTAATACATCAAATATAAAAACTATGTTTTAAATAATAATTTAATTATTTTTAATAAGTCGGAGCCGTAATATTAAGGAAAAATTTAAAAGTATGTTATATAATTGTTTTATTAGTAATTCGACTAAAAATAACTTTTAATAAAAAACTGGATATGAGAATATTAGAAACTTCTGGATTCTCGACGACAGGACTTATTGGTGATATCAAGCCCAACTTAAGCCTTGAGGTTGTAGATCTTTCCAACCCAAACCCATACTTGACCTAATCTCATAATTTTGAAGCCCATAATCCAAAACCCAAACTTAAAACCTTCAATGTAACGCTATAAATTATCTACTTCCGCTGAAACCTAGGGTTTTTACTCATCCGCCAAATTGTGGAGAGAGCGCCTCTTTCACTTTCTTGTCTCTCGTCTCTTCCATTTTTGGCTTGTCTTTCAGGTATCACTTTTCATTTTCCTATTACCTGTTTGGTTGCCTAGAAACTGCTCTAAAAGGAAAGAGAATGGAGATATTTCTCTTTGTTTTTTTTTTTTTTCGTTTCTTTCGGTTCTCATAAAACGAAACAGAGTGATAGGGCTTTTGGACATTTTATTACTGTTATCATTGAAAGATATGCTAATTTTCTGTGGTCTGTTTGTATGCTAAGAAAATTTTAGCGTAGGGGAAAAGAAATTTTGTTATGATCTGGTTCGGATGTTTCATTTTAATAATTTAATTTTGTTTCTAGACTTTCAACCATTAGGTTGAGGGTTATTTTTCTTTTATGATATATATATGAATTTATTACTTTCTGAGCTAATAAATGCTCTGTAGTCTGTCTAGTTTTGTTTGAATTTCTTTTAATACTTCTGCAATTCGTTGTTTTCACTCTTTGTGCGATAAAATGTGTGAAAACCCTAAACTTTGTGTGTATGCAAATTTTTGTCTTGTAAATTACTATTGGAAACAATTACCAATCACTTAGATAACTGAGATTAATGTCAGTTTATGGATAATGTACTGGAGAAGTGACAGGTTGTGCCTTATTTATATTAAGAGTAATTGGTTTAAGACTATGATGTTCAACAAATACTTTTTTTTGTCTATTCAAGAATATGTTGCAAATCAGTGAAGGCATTTCAATTTGAAGTTTTTTTTCATTTGCTTTCTAAGTTACCATAAAATTTGATCTTATTGAAAACTTTGTTAAGCATCAAACTTGTCATTGCTTCTTGAAATTGGTATAATGATTCTACTCATCATAAACTGAGTAATTGAACCAAAAGGTGAATCTTATCCTCTTTAATTGTTAGTGAAATTTGTATATGGATGGTACTTGATCTAATTTCTAGTTTAATCTGCTATGTAATTACACCTTGTTTGAAATTTCCTTTTCAATCTGCTAAATTCCTTTCAACTTTTATCCATCCCTCTATGCAGATCGTGAAGATGTATACATCAAGGAAGAAGATCCACAAAGATAAGGATGCTGAGCCAACAGAATTTGAGGAGTCAGTTGCCCAGGTTTTGAAATGCTCTTACGTTTGTTGCACTTGAAAAGTTCCTGAAAATGTGTAATCCTGGTTATGATTTCATTACCCGTGCATGTATGTTTGTAACAGGCATTTTTTGATTTGGAGAATACCAACCAGGATTTGAAAAGTGACCTCAAAGATCTCTATATTAATTCAGCCATGTAAGGATGATTCATTGGGATGTATTAATTGTAAAGTCACTTATGTATTTGTCCATCATATGATTGATATAATTTGTTCGCATGCAGCCAAATTGATGTTTCTGGGAGCCGGAAAGCTGTTGTTATCCATGTCCCCTACAGATTGAGGAAAGCTTTTCGCAAGGTTCATGTTAAGCTTGTGAGGGAACTTGAAAAGAAGTTCAGTGGCAAGGTGAGGGAAGGACTAAGCTATTTCATTCTCCTTCAAATTTGTTCCCTCTCTAATGAAACAATGAGAGGAAGTGCAGCTTGAATGATAATTTGGGTGTGGTCTTCTAGTTTACAATTTAAGTGCATTACCATTTAGTACAAAATTCAGTAACAATTTTAATTCACATGTATCACATAAGATGCTATCATCAGTGGCATTGTTCTTTTCCAGACTCTGATAAATTGCAGTTCTGCAGGGAACAAAAGAATTAATTATGTTTTATTGTATTACTCATAAATTTATGTTTCATGAATTCTGGCTTTACTGTTTTTCATAAAGTTCTATTTTGTACTTTAATGATGATTATTAATTGTTTTGATTGATATGCACATGTTCTTGATTTTATGTTTTAACTTAGTTTATATATATATGATAGGATGTGATTCTTATTGCCACCCGGAGGATATTGAGGCCTCCAAAGAAAGGTTCTGCTGTTCAAAGGCCACGCAGCCGCACATTGACTGCTGTACATGAGGCAATGCTAGAAGATATTGTCTTACCTGCTGAGATTGTTGGGAAGCGGATTAGATATAGGATTGATGGATCAAAGATAATGAAGGTACAATACTGCTTCCATTTAATTAAAAATACTAATACTAGAATTAGGTTGCTAAATGTTTATGAAAAAGTCTTGGGTGATGAGTGAAAGAATTGCGTTCTTGTGAAATTTTACATATATTGTGTTCAACACCAATTTGTCTTGTTAATCATGATAGTTTTCATCTTTCATAGATAATAAATTTTACATACGATGGGTTCGTTCATTCTTTGCCACCCTTCTTGGGCAGGTCTTTTTGGACCCCAAGGAACGTAACAACACTGAATATAAGCTCGAGACGTTTTCTGCAGTTTACCGGAAGCTTGCTGGAAAGGATGTTGTGTTTGAGTTCCCGGTTACTGAGGCATAGATTAGTCCTTTTTAATTGTTGTGACACCTTCTGTCAAGTCTTGTTTCCTGGAAAACTGCTTTTTTTGGGAGTATTTAAAATTTTGACATTTATGAGTTGGTAATCAAACATAGAATTGTCATGATGGATTTATTTTCTTTATTATGACTAGTTTATGCTATTTGGTATGCATTAAATGGCGTAGGATTAAGAGTGTTTAAAGGTTTTTTTGATGGTTCACAATTTGAATTCACATTCCTGTTTCTTCTCGTTGTTTTTGATGTAAAAGATGGATTTATAGTTATGTTTAACGATATCTTGTCCTCCTTTCGGACAAGGCACGTTGAATTAACCAAAAACTAAGAAACCACCTGGACTAGATTAGGCTTGTCTTACAAGATTAACAAAATGTTCCAACAATCTACATGACTTGTGTTTTGTATGGAATAATTTATTGCTCTATGCAATTGCAGGAACAGAGAGCAGGTTCTAGTTGCTGAGATTTATTTCCATAATTCCGTTTTACTGCTGAGTTTTATTGGATGGTAATTTAGGGTGTTTGGTAAATCATTTAAAATCTTCGAACTGTGATGGGAGGATTAAGTACATTCTATTTTTTCTCTATACCTCCTTTTTGTTTTAAAATTTTTTGTAAATGAAATTACTTAAAATTTTTTTTCAAGTTTTCAAATCTCCGCTAACTACTTTTGCAGCCTGAGAAGTGAAATTTTATGAAGAATTATAAAAAGAAAAATTATTAAAATTATCTACAAACTAATATAATAAAAAAGTTATTAGAAAGAATCATAAAATTTAAAATTAATAAAAAAGGTTATTTTTATTATTTTGGTTTTAAAGAAATAATAAAATCTTAGGAGTTTATAATTAAATATTTTATTTTTTTTATGTTACAAAGGATAATGGAAGAACTATCAGATTTGATTGATATAGAAGAATTAAAACTTTTTAAAATTATGTAAGTAATAATATTGAATACTAAGTAATTTTGTTAAAATTTTATATACTAATTAAAAAAATCAATCATGATAAGTAAATAGAAAATTTTATTCAAAAAATTCAGTTTAATTAAAATTATTATAAAATTTTAATAATTGATATAAAAATATTTATTAAAAAAATGATAAATTTTAAATTTATAAAAAATTGTATTTATTATTTTATCTTTAATTTAATTAAGACCTCATAAAATATTTTTCCTAAAGTAAATTTTTTATTAATTTTAAAATTTAAGATTTTTTAATAACAATTTTTTATTACACTTATTTATAAATAATTTTAACAAAATTTTCTTAATCATAATTTGTTAAATTTTTGAAAAGTATTATAACTTCTTGAAAATATATTTTTGAGAAGTGTTATAATTTTTTAAAAATAGATTTTGAAAAGTTATAAAACTTATAAAAAAAAAGATATTGAAGTAATTTTATTTAAAAATTTTGAAAAAAATGTGTAAAAAGAAAAAATAGAGATGTATTTAAATTTTCCCTACAATGATTAGTTCTTTCCGATGTGGACCATCGAGAGAAAAATTCATTTCATATAGAAGGCACAGAAGGTTAGCGATTCACGTATCAATTTGTGCATATTTCATGTCAAACATCGTATATAACACGAAAAATTATTACATTATAATTTATCCGTAGTTTAAACATGAAAATTTTGTTATTTTAAGTCAAATTTATAAATTTTATTATTTTTGTATTATTTTATTATATATTGTTTAAAATTATCATGTTCGTCAGAATGGGAATTATTTGAGTGCATACTGCAGTTGTAAATTTTTAATGCTACTAATTATTTATTCCCAACTGGCATCAAGTTGTTACGGGTTATGTTTGGTTTGTTAAGCTGATCTCGGGTATATTCATTTTAATCAATAATAATTCCTAACTGAAGATTTTTATTTGAAAACTCCAGGTTCAAATCTTGAAAAAAGTTGATGAATAATCGATGAGAGCTCCAGCTTTCATCTCCATGCAAATTAAAAGGGGAAAAAATAGAAAGGGTTGGACAAAAACATTGAATGATGATATATATTCATTGATACTAAAATATCAATATCGAAAAAAAAATCAGTTTGCCTTTGTTTCTTCACTTTGGAGCTCATTTGAGCATGAACCTTCTGTGCAAGAAAAAGGGGGAAAAAAAATGAGAAACTAAAATGAAAGAATTATAGGAACATCCCCTGTCCAAACTGAGGTGGCATTGGGAAAGTGAATGAGAGTGCAAACAGGCCAGTGTCTGGCGTTTCAGCAATTATAGCTTCCTGCTGAAAATCAGAGACATGGAAAGCAAGTCAGCATCTGATGAAGCATGTAGACATTTAAACTGTCTATAAATGGAGTATAAAATCATGCATAGATGAAAAGCTGATTGAACTCAATGAGACCATGGAAGCAGAGTTTACCTCAAGACAATATTACAAGACCAAGATACATTGCTCCACAAAGAAATAAGAATGATATTAAACCCCTGCCATAAGACTTTTTCGTCATTAAGGAGACAAAACAACCTAACAAGATTCAACTGTCTTGCTTGTCAAATTTTAACAAATAGGAAATAAAGTAATCTTCATGCATATTTCAGATTTTGACATTAATTGCTTCATAAAATTCAATATTCTCACCAGATGATACCCCAGCCAACGCCATTGCAAGGACAAGGACATACTTCTGCGAATTTTTCAGCATCACTAGAGTGAACTCTACGAGATATGAGATCATCATATATATCTGCAACATCAAGTGTATGTCATACAAAATTAGTAATTATAAAACAGACATTTAAATCACCAGATTCTATATTTCTTGCTCCAACACCATACCATAGACTGAAAACAAGCTGTTCATTACACCTGCAGTAAGCAATAGCACTTTTGTTGATCAAACTAAAAATGTGTTTTAAAAAAATGGACATTACAATCCAATTTCAGAAAAAAAAAAAAAAGTTTGCAAAGAGCAAGACAGATCAATTTACCTATAAACAGAATTATGTACCGAAGTACACGAATCTTTGTTGTTTCTTGAAGAACCCAAACCACACCAAGGAAAAGAACAAACCCTGACATCTCAGTACATATGGATTAACATTACTCAGATGGTATATCAGCCAGATTTATTCAAGCTATCAAAAGACTTACCAATGCAAAGTCCTCTTAGTGTCCACTGACAGAACAACAAAAGATAATCAAGAGCCATACAAACACAGAATAATAATAATAATAATAGCATGAGAGACTGTATTGATGCAGTTGAAAGTAAAAGCAGGCTAAATGTTCACAAGAAGCTTTTTTTTTTTTTTTTTCTAATAGCAATGAAAAGACTACTTTGTTATCAATTAAAAAGGGTGTGCCTCTTTTCAGGGCTTTGTGATAATATCTCTATATTTTACATTCAATGTAGTTTTGGCTCCCTTTTATCCATTGAATTCTTGCATTCATATTCTAAAAGAACCAACCTAAATTCCAGATAAGCTGGAAAATGCGATCTAGCATATATGATCTACCAATGAAATATAAAAAAGCTAGAGAGGTCATTCTAGGTGTTTGTGAATACTTACATTTTTAGCTACACAGAGTACAACAAGTAGAGCAACAACAAAACATCCAGCAGCAATTCTTGCGGTCAAAAGATTTGTCGATGCTAGTATCAAAACCATTCCCCAGAAGGATGAACCAAGATCTGAAGTGTAACAACAAATATTAGTTCTGATATCAACACAGGCAACCTCATGAAGAGAAAATTGATAGTGAATCCAAGGTTTTTAAATTTTATATGGAGAACAGCATCATGAACATATTAATACATGGATGAATGAGACAATTCACCAACGCACAATGTCGAAAGGCTGTAATTGAAACGTAATTTTGACATAATTATGCATCTAAGAACATATGTGCCTGTATCTGTTTTTATGCAAGCAGTCAAGGAATAAAAAAGGTACATCCAGCTGGCAAGATTAGCCAGTATATGCCACCACGTGTTTGTGTGGTTCCACCTTCATCTGCATGAACCTGGATCCCTTCCACCTGCATATGAATTCCTCTTAGAAATTGGATTGCACATAAAAGAGAACATCTCAAGGTGATGCAATCAACAAAGCATTTCATTACTTGGAATTTGACTATTCCAGATGCACCATTGGGCACGGCAGTAAGCCAAATAAGTTGCTCAGGCAGCACTGTGGTTACAATTAGAAATGGAACTGATGGATCTAATTTTTTTTTTATTCATTGATCCTAAATGTAGCATGTAGGCATTATAAAATGAGATTCACAGATGCAAGGACCCATTACTATTTTACCAATTAAGTCTTTGGAAAGACAAAAGGAATTACCTGTCCTGTCAAATCAAACAACCATTACATGAAAACGAGAATGAAACTCAGTTTTTCATGTTTCCTCTATGTGAGTGAAATTCATCTCTATCTTCTAGCATTATGTGCTTGATTTAATTAACTGAGAAATGTAATGATTTATCTTACGTGATTGCTAGCTTACTGGAAGCACTTTAATTGATGATTAGACCCTAAATCTAAATATGATATAGATTAAACATTTCCTCTCATTGTTAAAATCATTCTTTAACATACTGAATTGCAAAACTGTGAATTGTGAATAATATAAACTCAACTCATGCCCAATTTCAAACCTTAACATGCATGGGACCATTTTGTATTATTACCACAAAGCTTTGATCCTTCAGGGACATATATGGTAAACATAAACATTGGTGACAATATATGCTTCTTTTGTCTTTTTTTTACCCTTTTTATTTCCTTTTGAACAGTCGAGGGAGTTTTTCTTTTCTTTTTTCTTTTTAAAGTTAAGTTGGGTGAGGGAGAATTGAAATTAGGACCTCCTTTTTGGCAGTGAGGCATGGGTAACATTAGGCAATTGCCTTGGCTACAAAAAACTGTCCTACTAAATAATATGAGTCGAGTACATATCTCTAGATGTATTACTCTGATGCATAAATGACAGGGATTTACTCATGAAGTAAATGCTATATCTTTACTAAATAAAGTTGAGTAGCTCTACCAATTAAACTTGTAAGGTGTATAATTTCTCATAGACTGCTCAAAGAGATTGAGAATTCAGAGACACTAGCCCTGTAGAGTGGAGAGGATGGAGAGGATGGCTGACTCTCCAGTGGTTTTCTAACCATATACAATTTTACCAAGCAATACTTAAGTAGACAATAGAACTAGATATATTTCATAAAAAGTTACAGAAAAAATCAAGATGGTACACCATAGCCACAAGCACAGGATGTTGCTTAAACATAAAAATAATAATAATAAGAGAACTCATTGTTTAATCAATTAAGGAAATACAAAGACCCAAAAAAAAATTTTACTAGCATAAATTATGATCATGAATTTTGGGGAATAACATTGTTTGCGTCAAATTGATATCTATGCCTGTCGTCCTCTCTTAGCGATCAACTAAGTATTAATAAGGTTCAGTGAGTAAATTTCTCCACTTAACAACAGAAATGCAACATTAAGACTGGACGAAAATATTGCTTTACACAGCAAACTAAAGCCAATACACAATAAACATCAGCCTATAATTTACAGGAAAATGCTAATTACTAAGAAAGCATGTCATTGTAGTGACAAGGATTACTACATTGCTATCCAAAGCATTTATCTAACATTTACCAAAAAAATCATTAAATGAATTTTGCAAGATAGCATGCAGGAACACAAAGAAATACTTACATGACCACATGTGAGTTTACAAGCAATAGCATGGCTAGCCTCATGAAGGAATACAGTTACAAGCTTGAAAGGTCTCAGCAGTATCGTCCTCCATAGCTACAAAGATCAAATAAAGATTTAAACCAAAAAGCAGAAAACAGAAGCAGACATACCTAGAAATTTTAGCAGGCTTGATAATTAATTAAAAGATAATTTTAGCAGGCTTTATGACTGTATGGACTGTCTCTTTTATCTTAATATCAATAAACTTTAATGAGCCAATTCCACATTTAAATTGGCTGAGCTGTAGCACAATTGAAACAGGATCAACTGTAGTCTATAGCTTGGATCTAAAATTACCAAATTAGTAGCACCATACATTAGAATCAATAAATTGTTGTCTTTGAGGATTGATATGTAGGCTTCCACCACACTAAAGGTTCCAATTCCAAGCAGACAGAATTTATTTTCCCCAAATGGCTTTTAAGTCAAAAGTGAAACCCAATTTTAAAGTGAAACTCAATTTTATATCCCTTAAACCCACAGTTATAACTTGTCGATAAGCTCAAATTGACTCCAATTACCAGAAAGAGCAGTAACCTTGAGTAACCAGAAGCAGTTGCTTTCAACAAAATGAACATTCAAAATTATAAATCACCTACAAATAAATATTCATCTGCTTTTAGTAATGTACTAAGTAACCACTTTACTCCAAATAAGCAAAAACTTCCCTGGATAAAAACAAAACCGCTTGAACCCTCAAGAATTCCCATTTCAAAAAGAAGCAACTATTACCCAGATCACTCAATGTTCCTACTTTTAACTACCGCAAATTATAACCCCAAAGAAGACACCCAATTGGCATTTGCTTATGAGATACGAAAAAAGAAAAGTGGCATAGATTTGGTAAAGAAGAAGAAGAAGAAGAAGAAGAAGAAAAGCTGAGAGAGGGGGAAATGTACCGCAAGTATAACAACAGTGCAGACAGCGACAGTGATAAGAAAGACTACTTGTTCATGGTTGCAGCAGTTTTTAAGTTCCCAGTTGGGTTTCAGTTTCATCATCTCTTTGTTACTTAGAAACGAGAATGACCCAACAACTGGATTTTCTTATTTAAGAGAAAGAAAAAAAAAAAAAAAAAAAAAAAAGAGAGTTTGTAAAGTGTCTTTTTATATATTTTTAAAAAGAACTTGAAATCTTGCAGCTTGTCTTTGACGGGCTGAAATGATATTTGAAACTTATAAATAGTTTTTTTTTTTTTAAATGAAAGGTAAGTAGGAATTCGAATGAATAATAATAAATTTAAAGTTTAAATGCATTTCATTTGAGATTTAGCATTGGACATTGTAATATCCGACATTCCGATTATTCTAATTTCAAAATTTGTGACTCTTGTTGTAAAACAATTTATTTGAGGGTTTTAAAATCAATTGAATTTTATAAATATTTTCATTAATATTTATTTTAACATAATTTTATTTATAATCATTTGAAGAATTAAATTTTTTTGTTGTATTTAAAAAAAATTTAAATGCAACCTTAAATTTTATCGATTTAAATATTTTATAACAAAATAATATTTTTAAAAATATATTTACACTTAATTTCAAAATTTATTATCCTTAAAAAATTTTTGAAAATATTTCACTTAAATTTCTTACTTTTTAATTAAATTACATTAGTCAGTCCCAAATATATAACATTCTCTCCTAAAAAAAGTTGGTTGGTCACCAGTTACCAATAAGTTGGCTTTGCAATGCTCCAAGTTTCTGTTTCTAAAACTTGCAGAAAGCATAAAGTATATTTAATTGTATCATACAATTAATTAATCAATAAAAGTTATAAGTGCAGATTTCACTTAATATTTAGTAAATTTTAATTAATTAATCACTAATATAATTATTATAAGTGATGTAAAGATGTCCTCCCAAAAATAAAAAGTAAAACACCTTTACAAGTTTTCCTTTGTTGATTTTCTTTTTCCAGTGATCCAAAAAGTTATTCATAACCTTTAAAAAGAGGAAGCCTTTTTTTTTTTTTTGTTTACAAAAAGTACTTAATTTTTTATGGAGTAATAAAAAGTTCTATGTCTAATACATTTATTGTGGAATGAAATATTTATAATTTTATTTTTAAAAGAAATTATTTCATTATATTCATAATAAAATTTTTAGACTCAATAAAATTAAAGGATTGATAAGTATTTTCATAAAATATATTTTTATATATTAAAAAAATTGCTTAATCACAAATATCAACTCTTTAATTTTATTGAAGTTTATAATTTCTATCATGATTGGTGATGGTTTAGTTAAATAAACTATTTTAAAAATTTTCTTATAAAAAGGCATCTTATGAAAATAGAATAAGACAAACAAGTAAAGATTGCATGGCCGCATCATGTGCAGTGCTGCTTTCTGGAGCCACCTCTGTCTTGACTTTTGAGCTCAAATTTTGAATATTGAAGACGCCACCCCTTCAAAACTGTCAAAGATTTGAAAAAAAAAAAAATTGAAAGGACAGTGATAGAGGCCATGTTTAGCAGGCAAGTGGGGTGGATTTATTGGTTACTGCACTTGACAATCAATCTTCATTCTTTATTTCACTTTTGTCCGTTTCTGCTTTCGTCTTGTCTTGAATTAATTAACGAAATAAATAAAGGGAAAGAGAAATCCAAATCAAAATCAAAATCTACTTAGATATGTTTAATAAGCCTTTATCACCTCAACCGAAATTCCACACAGATGGCTTAATCCGACAATACATATTTATTTTGCGTAAAATAATTATAATTTATGTATTTATATTCTAATTTTATATAAAAATTATATGATATAATTCATATTGATATAAAAAATAAATTTTTTTAATTTTATTATACTTTATAATTTTTACAAAATCTTTAAAATATCATCTTCATATTTTTTTTTTATTTATAATTGTTTTTATCGTGTCATCCAGTTGTATGTTATATTGTCAGCTCAAACCTTCATTGGATATGGCACAATCCAGCAGCGGGTGATGGGTGTTGATGGCTCTCTTGGCTTGACCCTCACTGGGCCCTTTTCTCTTGTGGCATTCGCACCCGCTTGGACACAACTCGTAACCACCTAGAAAACAGTCCATACAATTTCCACCCATTCCAATCAGCAGCAAAATAATAAATAAACAAATAAAAATCAACAACAACAATATAAACCCATTCCAACAAGAAAACATAATTTCCATTCTTTCTCCGCGCTAGCTCAGCTTAGAAATTTAACATCATATAAGTAGAACAAATAAGATGATATTAACATGAAATCATATAAAAATATGCTTTACATGAGATTACCAGTGCTATATTTGCACTGAACTATGAGTAGCTTATCTACCCTCATCAATAGAAGAATATGATATAGAATTTCTAGAATAATCTTCAACAAAACTATTGCTGCCGGAAGCCCTTGTTACACCGGTGTTCATGCTCCTAGCATTAGTATTAGTAAAAGCAGAAGCAGAGGTTGTTGTCCACTGTTCTACACGGCCTCGAATTGCAGGTTCACCTGGTCTTGGCAGAGTAAATGAATCACTTGAAAGCATCAGATTAACAGAGTTCATGTCCGGCCTCTTGGCAACATTCTGTTGACAACATAACAAACCTAGCTGAATGCACATTGCTGCCTCATCACCATTGTAATTCTCAAGGGACGGATCCACTAAATCCAATGACTTTCCTCCTTGAAAGAGCAGCCATGCCTGTATAAGAAAGCAAGAAAATTCTCAGGATTAAACTTACAACTTATAGATTCTACATTCCTAGTATGGTACCTTTTTAGGCTTAGATCCAAAAATCCAAGTAGAACCTTCTAAGGAGTAGTAAATTTTACAGCACCTCATATCAGATTTTATCTCACCACTAAGTAAATAGCAATAAGATTTAAGCTTTCTCAATTCCAACAATAAGAGGTTATATTAAAGATGTGAAATGTCTAGAAGATTAGAAAACATCAAATGCCAGATACATATGGCATATCTATCCAATATGGGTAACAAACGATATTGATTCACACTACTGAAGAGACAGATGAAAGTAGCAAATAATGTGTAAGAAACTGGTGGCACTGCCAACGTCTAAGGGCTCCACTGCTCATGAATGTAGCTTGAGAAATGAACAATTATTTACATTAAAAATTAAAAAAAAAAAAAAACTTAGGATAAGTAGTATAAGTTCAACTAGAACTACTAGCAGGATAAAGAAAAGAATTAGAAGGTGTATGTACTAAAAATAAAATTTTTCATATGCATGTAATTAAAAATTAACTAAATGACATGCAGTTACATTTATCTTCAATTCTTCATACTAAAATTTCAAAAATATTTGTAGGTTATTTATGATAGTACCAAATTAATGTTCCTATACGGGTAGGGCCACCTATCCACCTATACAGCAGAAGACTAATGCTAATTAAGTATAACAAGATTTGAGGATTTACAAACATGTTTGCCCATAAATTTAACTTACACAGTTCAGGAGGTCTGCTTTCTCTGAACCAAGATGGCTATCATGGTTCTTTCTCCCACTTACTATCTCCAAGACGACAACTCCATAGCTGAAAACATCTGTCTTCACAGACAAATAGCCATGCGAGGCATATTCAGGGGCCATGTAACCACTGCAGGCAATGAAAGGTTTTACTTATTTTTATCTTTCTTAGCCAACAATAAAATTAGCCCTGGATAAAACTTGAAAGAAATCCTAATACAATTAAAGTTGCAAGGATAATTACATAATACGATGGGAAAAGAAAGCAAAGAAACTACTCACTGTGTGCCAGAAATCCTAAAGGTATTTACATGAGTGTCATCCCCAGGGAAGAGCCTTGCCAAGCCAAAATCTGAGATTTTTGGATTCAATTGCTGATCCAACAATATATTACTGGCTTTAATGTCTATATGGATAATCCTTTCAGGGGCCTCCTCATGAAGGTAGAGAAGACCTCTTGCAATGCCCATGACTATCTTAAATCGGGTTGTCCAATCCAAGGATGAAGACTTATTCTTACCTGAGAAGTTTAATAGCAATTATGAGTCTTAATTTGCCAACGAGCCTATGAGAGTTGCAGTTTGTAAAACTTCCTTAGCAACAGAAGTGAATGCCACATTCAAAGGGATTCTTACCAAAGAGAAAGTAATCAAGGCTCTTATTTGGCAAATATTCATAAACAAGCATCTTCTCAGGTCCTTCCAAACAGCAACCAAACAGCATCACTAAGTTCTTGTGCTGGGTTTTCAATAAAAGTTTCACCTCGTTTGTGAATTGTTTAAGTCCCTGTTTCGAATTCAGTGAAAGCTTCTTGACAGCTACTTCTTGACCATTTGGCATCAAACCCTGTAATATAAGCTTGCAATGAGCAATAATTTCACAAGAGTCACAAATGACCAACCAGTCCCTTGCAATCAAAGCAAAACAAGAAGATAGCATATAATGCAAATTGAATATAAAACTAAAGTTTTTGACCAAAGGCATCCTAGTTGTTTAAGTGACAAGGTTGAATTAAAAGTGCAAGACTATTAATAGGCAAGATAACCAGAAACCAACAAAGGTGGCATTATGGTGTAGAGCTTCCATACTTAGCAGTATAGTATATGTGTTGGCGTATCAGCATATACATGCACACAAGGGCAACGGACTCCCCCAATCATCTCTTGGAATACAAAAAAAAATTTCCGTAACTCTAATAACATTGCAAAATATATCTTTTTGCAACATAAAATGTATTATATTGTAATTGGCTATTATAAACTATATTTTGCAACAAGAATGTAATATGTTATTATAAACTATATTTTGTGACATGAACATACTCAACTGTTGTTGCAAATACTTTTGCAACACTATCATTTGCAGTACCTTGCAACAATTTATATGTTGTTACCAAAAACCTTTTTGCAACATAAGAAGTTAATGTTGCAATATGTGTTACAAATTACTTTTTGCAACAAAGGTATATTGTAAAATTGTTTGCAAATATTTTTTGTAACATGACAATTTGCAGCATTACATAAAAAATTTGTTGCTAATTATCAAATTTCTTGTAGTACACAAATTTAACTTAAATTATAACCCTGACATTGAATAGTATAATACACAAAATAAAGCCACAACAAATCATTTGAATTGTTATAAGAAAATTCTTAAAAAAATAAACTGGAATAACCTCAATTGAAATTTTAAAACAAAATTGCAGATTGTATGATTAAGATTTAAGAGTCTTCTTCAAAAGTTGTCTCCAATCTACAGTTGAGAAGCAAGGTTTTTATGGTTGTTTATTTATGTAAAATAGATTAATTTTCAACTACTTAAGAGAGAAAATTAATTTTACACATATAACGGATTCAAAAGCCTAAAGAAATTTTTAATATAGTTAAATATTATCTTTTTTTGGATAAATTGCATCCTTATTATCCAAAAGAAGCAGGGAATTACCTGCTAGCAATCAACGTTACAAAAACTTGTATGAACTAACCCTAAAAAATCCCCCAATGTTACAAATAAATTAATTTGTTAGAGGGGTTGTCAGGTATCCCTATTGATTAGTGAGAATTAGGTAACTTAAAATTTCACTTAAAAGATATAAAAAAAATATCAATATAAAAATTTAAATTTAACCTTTTGGGGCGAAATTATAAATTTCAACTGGTTTAAAATCAAATTCCATACAAATTAAAATTTTCATATGCATAAAAATTTCAACCGGCCGTCCTTGGTAATAAACGCCAGCTCCAATCCAGCAAAGTGTAGCCCCGTGAAAAGACAACAAAAACACACACATTTCTAAACTGAAATATTCAATAGATGAAATTTACCTAATCAGAATTTCAGAAATGCCCACTATAAATAAATAAATAAATATAAAAAATACAATTAACTGGACTAGCTAAAAGAGGTTTATTCATTTTTTTTTTAAATAAAAATTCCAAACTTGACATCGATAGCCCAGTAAAGATCCGAAACGTACCTTGTAGACGGGACCGAAGCCACCATGACCGAGGCGATTAAGTTCAGAGAAAAAATTAGTAGCAATTTGGAGAGCACGAAGTTCGAAGAAAAGTCCGCGAGTGTCAAAGCTGTCGTCGGCTTCGTCTGCTCCTGCGGAGCCACTTCGTGCGGATTTGAGGCGATTTTCGATGCAAACAAAGAGTTTAGTCAAGAATCCCATGAAGGGGTGTGAGGGACAGCAGGAATCTGGAGGGTCCAAGTCTAGGGTGGTTTGTACGGCAGAGGGGAGTAAGCATAAAGAAGAACAAAGAAAGAAGAAACGTTGGCTTGTGCCGCGTTGTTGTTTTGGTACGAGTAATTCGCTTGGTTTTTAATCAAGGAAGGAATTGACAAGAAATTTTAGTTTTGACTCGCATGTGAAACAATTACTAGTTTACTTCCAAAAGGATCTTTGAATTTGGTTTGAAAAATTCGCGTTTGAAAGCGGCAGGCTTTTTCTATTTTTGCCATGCTTTTTCTCTATTTTAACTCTTTAAGTTTTTCTATATTTTAATTTTAAACCTTTTTTTCTAAATATTAATTTTTATACTCTTTAATATGTCATATAATTAATGACTAAATTCAAATATAAGATCTATTAATCCATTAGCAAAATCAACTAATTTAAAAATGAAAAATTAGAATGCACCAACATATATATATATATGTCATGTCAAAAATATGAAAAATTTGAAATAAGAATGTGGGACAAATAATATTTTTCAAGTTTGATGTGATTTAACCGTAATCACAAATCATAATTGAAATCAAATTGATTAATAAAAAATTAATGTTTTACAATACTTTTTAAAATAATCTATGTATTTATTATAAGTTAAGATTTTGTAATTTTATTAAGTCACCTCAAGATTTCATAGTAATAACTATGAAACCATTCATGATTCATGAGATCAAAACTTTTCAACCTTAACTCTTTATTATTAATTATAATTTTTTCTTTAAATATCATGTCATTGTCGATTAATTAACATTTTCATTTCATTTAAAAGTTTATTTTATATAATTATTTAAGGCAAATCACAATTTTTTTCTGCAAATAATATTTCTCTTTCTTAATCTATTGCTTCCTTAATTAGTATTTTGATCATTTGACTTCCTTTGTTTGTTAGATTAACATAATTTTTTTTTTAAATCAAGTAAGCGAATGAATGAAAATATGTGTTATTTGGAAGTTTGGTAATTTGATTTTATGTTATGAACAAGTTGGTTAATGAAAGTTTGAGTCTCGCCAAATGTGATATGGTCCAAATATATATATATATATATATATAATGGTCATTTAGATTATTTAAAAATTTAATTTTCAATTTTTTTAACCTACTAAATGAAAATGATAAACGGTGTTAATTAATTACCAAGTAAACATTAAATGCAAGAGACAACTATATACTCCTTTGGTATTTTTTTCTCCATTTTAAATTTTATTTCTTTTATTTTTATCTCTTTTTTTTTCTTTTATCCAATTTTTGTTTTAATTACAAAATTAGGATATTTACTTAGTTATAAATAAGGTTACAAAATTTAATTAGTTTTTAAAATCATCTTTACTATAAAAAATTTTAATTAAGTTAAATTATAGTTGAATTATAATTTAATTATCGATTATATGCATTAAATTGTATTTAATTCAATTAAAAAATAATTTCCACCCTAAAGTTTTATTTTAACCCAATTTTAAGGTAATATTAAAATTATTAAAAGGGGTTTTCAATGAAGTGGAGTTGAACCCATTATTTAGTGTTCTTACTTTTTTCGAAAGGTGAAAGGGTTTTTTTTTTTTTTTCCAAATTAATAAAGAGTAAGGTTTAATTTAGTATTGATATTTAGGTTGGAAAAAGTTTGATTTGAAAAACATGCATTGGAAAAGTACTGTAAAAAAAAGTTATTTTCAAAAATTATAATTTAAGAATTTTGAGTGTTTGGTATTGTCATGAAAACTTAAAATATGTAAAAGAGACATTATGTTGAAAAAAAAAAGTTATTTTTGTAAAAATAATAATGTTGTAGATATTTGGTCAGTTTAGCTCTAAATTGTAACTATACCTCCCAATTAACTTTTGTAATTGACTCATTTTTAGCAATAAAAAAATACGTTAAACTTAAACTATAATGTGTTTAGCATTTCTTTTGCATTTAAAATTTCCTGTTTGAAATAAAACACAATTCTAAATGAAGGCTAAGTTTACTTTTCATCGGATTGTTTTAAATACACCATAAAATTAAAAAAAAAATCCACATAATAAATATCTATTTTAATCTTTAATAAATAATAAAAATATCTTCAATAACTTATACACTCAACCTTTTTTTCTTTTTCTTCTTCTTTTTTTGCATTTAATGATGGGGATAATTATATTATATTTTTAGAAATGGATTTTTAAAAATATAATATAAATCTCATTTTTAATATTTACATTGTATTCCCATAAATCTATTTTAAAAAATACATAAATACATTTAATCTTAATATAAATAATCCATTTAATTTTAATTTTAATTAAATAATTTTATTGGAGACAATAAAATAAAATAAATGCATTTAATCTTAAAATAAGTAATATAAATGTGAGAATATTAAAGACAAGTTTTCAAGCAAGTATAAGTGGGAGGGGTCTAGTCATCGATGTACCCATTCTTACTTGATTATATGTGCAAATGAAAGAGACATATTAGTTTTCAAGCATGTATTGACATAAAAGTGTTCTTCTTGAGACCAAAAAATTAAGAATTCTCTTTTGCCTATGCAAAACCAAAAAATCAAAAAATAGTATTTTTTATTTTCTGAAGTCTCAAGACCAAAAACAATTTTGTATCATGCATGTTTGAGAACATTAATTTTAGTTTCATTCGCACATATAACCAAGTAAATGACTCTATAAATGCATATATTTTCTATTAAATCATTATTGAGTAGCTCATCGATATATAAGATTAAAGTTTCCATTGATTAAAGATAAAAAAATCTACTTTCAAATTTGAAATTAAGTTTCTCAAAAATTGATATTTGATAAATTTTTGAGAAATTTTAAGATTTATTGAAAGTGAATTTTTTATAAGACTTAAAAACTTCATAGAAATAGTTATCCGATAAACTTTAGGACTTTTCGAAAACTATATTCTAAAAGCTCTAACGCTTTTCAAAAATTGATATCCAAGAGGTTCAATTTCACTTAAAGCTCGATTTTTCAAAAAGTGAAAAGAGAATAAAAGAAAAAATGTAGGAATGAAAAATAAAAAAATGAGGAGTAAGAAAGTATTTAGTAAAAATAAAAAATTGAGTTGTATTTAGAAGTGAGGTGCATAAAGTAAAAAATGGGGTTTATAATAATTTCAAGGGCCTAGATTTTTTATTCAGCCCTTAAGTTGATAATAATTTATCTGATGTACCTTTTTATATATCTTGATTGTTTAATTAGATATTGATTGATTTAAGTAAAAGAAAAATTGAGAAAACAATTGTAAATAGCCCAAAAAAAAAAAAAGCAAAGTGCTATAAAAGGCTCCGAAGATGAAAAAGTGATTTATGCAAAGCCAATTATACAAATTAAAAGTTTTTCAACTAAATGTTATGTTTGAAATGGCCATATTAATCTTGGCAATGTAACTTGTAACTTAGTTCTAGAAGAGTACTTACATCAAATTAATTAAAAAAAAAAAAAAAAGGACCTTAGCACAATCTATAAGGAGCCGTTGTCCTATGTAGAAAAAGATGCAGGGGCCCGCTAATAAATTATTGTAAATACAGGACCAAGGTGATCAAGTTTGACTTGTTTATTGTTACTAGTAGGGATAGAAACGGGTGAGTCTGTTTAGATTTTTGTTCTATCCGATTTTAATTCGGTTTTTTAATATTTATACTTAAATTAATTTAATTTGATATTAAAATATTATTTTTTAATATTCAAATTGTATATTTATAAATCATAATCGATTTGATTTAACTAGAAATTTATTTAATAATTTAAATTTAATATAATATTTATAAAATATTATTTTTTAAATATAAATTACATGTTAATTTTACATAAATATAATATTTTTATTAAGTTAATATCTTAAATTAAAATATTAAATAATAATTTTATTAATATAATATATATATACAAATATAAAATTAAATAAATAATAAAAAAATATTTATATATATATCTAGTTCGGGTTAAAGTAGCACTATTTAAAATTCGACTTTGATCAAACGCTAACCTTAAAGAAAAAAACTCGACTTAACTCAACCTTTGATATCTAAAAAAAAAAAATCATATTTTATTGGATTGGAATTAGTCGAAATTTATTTGATATGAATTATTTTATCATCTCTATTTATTAAAAAATTGTCGACTTTATCATAAATAAACCTGATAATTAATATATTCATATTATGTAAAATAACAAAAAATCATATATTCATATAATTTTTATAAAAAAAAATTATGTGTTACATTCATACCAAAACAAAAAATATAAAATATATATTTTTTGTTTTTGTTAAACTCATATATATTTTTTACTAAAATTCTGACCTATGTCACTTTTATATATATTTTTCGTATCATTTTTTAATATTGTTTCATTATATTGGGTTTTGAATTGCCTAACAAAAGTGCCTAAGATGTTATGATTGCGAGTGAAGCTTTACATGGTGAAAACAACAATATACATTTTCTTAAGTACCTGTTAAATGATTTATATCAAAATGGAATAAAAGGTGAAGCATATAAGTTGGCTCACTTTTGTCATAAAAGTAATTTAAAAAATTAAAAATTAAAAAAATTAAAAAATTAAGTAAAAAAGTGGAAGTGGAATAAATGAAAATAAGAAAAAAAACAGCTAATATAAGGTGTTACATTGATATTTTATATTGAGTTTAAAATATATATTTCTTAAATTATAGGAAAAATTATTTTATTAATATAATATATATAATTAAATAAATAAAAAATATATTTTTACATACATCTCGAAATGAGTCAAAACAAAGTAATATAAACACATTTCCAACTCAATTTAAAATTAAAAAAAACCTTGGTCCATGTTAACTCAACTTTGATTTAAAAAATCATCTCTTTTCGATTGAGATGGATAGAAATTTATCAAATATAAATTATTTTTTTATTTTCATCAATTGACATATTTATTGTAAAATTTATCTAATTGAAAAATACAAAAAAATAAAAGATAAAAAACCCAAATAAAATGCCATACGGATACATCCATAGTTTTTTATAAAATTACTTTTATTAAAAAGACAACCAAAAAGAAAAATAAAAAAAGTAACAATGTAAAAGAAGAAAAATTAAAAATTTAAAAAATCCCATTGGGGTACTACTTGTGTCACGCCCTGGGCGGGCGCGTCAGGCACATCAGGCAGACCAGCAGGCGAGCCAGAGGC